ACCTTCTTTTATTCCAGATTGACTATCAATTATTGGTTTGTACAACTTTTCCAAGTTAGTCTGTAAAGCATCATAGCCTAACTTTTCATTAATAGAATCTTGATAAACACTTTTCTTTAACCCATCAAGTTCTTTTGCTATTTTTAATCTTGCATCAATATCTGTAGCTTTTGCATACATTTTTATATAAGCAATAATTTTTTAAATCACTCTATGATCCTCAGATCCCTAAAGGGATTAAATCAACATATATTATGTTAGTAATACATAACATATGTTCAAGTAAATACATAATATATGTTTATTTAATTCTTAAGAGTATTATTTATCATTCCTATATTCTGATTTTTGTTAAATCTCATATTTAACACTTCAATGACATCACTTTTGCCTTTTTCTATTCCTTTATTAAATATTGACTCTTTAGTCTGTTCATCTATATCATTTTTAGATTTTGTTCTAATTTGTTCGGTCATAGCTTGAAACTTTTCAAGTTCTGAAAGTATCATATTAAATTCTGCATCATCAATATATTGATCTGATATAGCTTTAGAAATAAGACTACTTATTGTATTTAGTTTTGCATCAGCTAGTACTTTAATCTTTTCATGCTTTTCTGCTTTTATTGTTAATTTTTTAATAGCTTGTGATCCTATTAATGATAATACACCTAGTCCTAATGCTGCAATTTCACATCCAATAGCTACTGGTGATCCAACTATTGTTGTTAAAAACCCAATACCAACAGCTCCTAATGTCATAGTGCTTGCTAGTAATGTATTATCAACTGCTGAAATGATTCTTGAAGCTCTATGATATTTCTTACTTAAAATCTCTCTTCTTTTCCTTTCACGTTCTATTTTATCTTGAATTTCACTAATCTTTTGTAATCTAAAGTTATGATCCGAAATTGGTGGTGCAGATGGATTTTCTGAAAACTGGTTAAGATCTGGATAAAGCTGTTTACATTCATTATTACATAGCATTTCTTTTTTCTATAAAGAAAAATTTATTTTAAATCACTTTTGTGATCAATGCTTCGCTAAATCACTTTTTACCAAAATCAAATATAGCTTTATCAGAATTATCAAAACTAGGTTTATCTTCATCACATATAGTTTCTTTAATTACTTCTCCTATACTTGATAAAAAAGATTTTACAGATTCTTTATCACTTTGCAATCTAGCTTTTACTTTTTTATCAGGTTCTAAAGCAGCTCTATGTGATATATGATTTGTATTAAAAACACCATTATAAGATAAAATATAACATAACAAATCTCCTTTTTTAATGTTTATATCTTTTTTATCGTTATTATATAAAGTTATTTTAATATCATCAGTAGACTCTATTACAACAGAATTTAGTAAATTTAGTGATGGCTTATAATCTTCTGCAAGTAAAATCATTACATGTCCTTTATCTATTTCAACTCCACACATTAAAGAAATGCTATTATATTTATTTGATTCTAAAGTAAAATCTTCTTGTGCGAATACTTTAATATGTCTATCAATTATTGCTCTATGTTCTAAATCTGAATTAATATTAAAAGTTATTGTATATTTTTCATGCTTTTCATACTCTAAAAACATTCTACTCATACATTTTTTAAATGTAAAGATTTTTTTTTAAATCACTCTGTAATCCTCATATCTATTTTGTTTTAAAAGTTCTAGCAATATAATTTAAAATGCTTTCACCTTGATGTAAAAAATTACACTTTTTGTTATCATTAACATTTTTATATATTAATATTTTTTCTCCTTTTTTATTTTTCTTTAATTTACTCTCTACTAATTTACATGGAGTATAATGACAAATTTCTACATTTTCTTCAATTTCTTTTATAGAATGAGCATATTTGCAATTTATATTTTTACATTCTTTTTTATCAAGAATATATTTACATAATTTAGTTTTAGCTTTTCTTAATTTTAATAATTCTGACTTTTTAGGATGAAACAATCTACACTTTTTATTCTTACATTTAGGGTATTCAGAACATAGAGATAAATGCCTATATTGACATGAAGATTTAGTGCATATTAGTCTTTCCTTTACAGTACTACAATAAGGAATATCATGATTGTATTTACATTTTCTTCCAAAAGGACAATAATTATCTTTTAAAATATTTTTACAGAAAATGGGTAGTTTCTCTACAAAATGAATTGTTGAAGGTTTTCCATCTTCAGTAAAATTAATATCAACATTAAATGGTTTTTCAAAACTAAATTTTCTATTTTTGTTGTGTTTTTTAAAAGAAGTATTATCTATAGCAGGATAATCATCATTATTAACATTATAAGTTGGAACATAATTAATCCATTTCAGCTTATCTTTATGCAGTTCCATGATTTGAACTGTTTTTAAAGGAATTGGAACTATAGGTTTTTCTTTAACTTCATCATCATCATGTATAATAAGTGTCATCTTCAGAATCTGATTCTTCAAATTCAAATTTTCTCATTTCTTCAAAAAGTTTAAATTCTTTTTGAAATTCAGATATTTCATTAATTTCATCATCATTCATTTTTATTTTTTATTATTTGTAAAAATATTTTAAATCAAAAAATTGAAAATGAATTAAATAATTTTCTTTTATATATAAAAAGAATGGAAAACGAAATGCAAAATTCATTTTTAAAATCAATAGAACAAAGATTAAGATTAATAGAAGAAAAATTAAATATTAATACTCATGATATTGAAATGACTGAAGAGGATGAAGAGAATGAAGAAGTTACTACAGTTACAGAAACTACAGTTACTACTGAAGTTACTGAAATTACAGAAACTACTGAATATGATAATGATATTGAAATGACTGAAGAAGATGAAGATGACGAAGATGAAGATGATGAAGATAAAGAAGATGAAGATGATGAAGATAAAGAAGATGACGAAGATAAAGAAGATGAAGAAGTTATTACAGTAACTACAGTAACTACTGAAATTACAGAAACTACTGAATATGATAATGAAGATAGTGAAGATGAAGTTGTATTTGATAATTAGACTACAGAATTAATAATCTTTTTATTATTTTATTTTTTTTACAAAAATAAAATAAATTGAAAAATGATTTAAATAATTTTTCTTTTATATATAAAAATAATGGAAGACGAAGAAAAAAAAAAAAATAAAAATAATGTTATTAAAATATTAAAAGCAATTAATCGCGCTATAGAAAATGGTAACCTTGAACAAGTAAAATATTTGCATAAATTAAAGTATTATTATGAAGAATTAGCAATTAATTATGCTACTGAAAATTATTACTTTGAATTAGAGCAACAATTATATAAATTTAAGTATAAATATGAAAAATGTGCAATTAGTTCTGCTGCTATAAATGGTCACTTTGAAGTAGTAAAATATTTACTTGAAATAGGATATAAAGGTGATAAATTAGCAATTAGTTATGCTGCTATAAATAACCACTTTGAAATATTAAAATATTTACATGAATTAGGGTATAAATGTTACGATTGGACTATTGATTGTGTTGCTAAAAATGGTCATCTTGAAGTAGTAAAATATTTGCATGAATTAGGGTATAAAGGTACAGAAGATGCAATAGATAAAGCTGCTAGAAATGGTCACCTTGAAGTAGTTAAATATTTACATTCATTAGGGTATAAAGGTACAAAAGATGCAATAGATAAAGCTGCAAATAATGGTCATCTTGAAGTAGTTAAATATTTACATGAATTAGGGTATAAAGGTACAAAAGATGCAATAGATAAAGCTGCAGAAGAAGGTTATCTTGAAGTAGTTAAATATTTACATGAATTAGGGTATAAATGTGACAAATGGACAATTAATTCTGCTGCAGAAGAAGGTCATCTTGAAGTAGTTAAATATTTACATGAATTAGGGTATAAAGGTGATGAATGGACAATTTATATTGCTATAGAAAATAATCACCTTGAAGTAGTAAAATATTTACGTTCTATAGGATATAAATAAGAAGCAAGAAAAAAAATTGAAAATAAATTTCTTTACATAAATTATAAGAAATGGATTGTACAAGTAAAGATGTGTATATTAAATTTGGAAGTTATAAAAGAAGATTAAGATTAGCTCGTTATTTGCAAAATAAAATTAAATTACAATATGAAAAGTTAGAAAAGGAAAGATTAGAAGAAGAAAAGTTAAAAACATTAGATAATATTTATTATTAGAAAAAGTCACGTGACCTGTGACGTCATGCAAGAATTTTTCGTAACATTTCATAACAAGAAATAAAAAATTAACACTTATTTTAAAAAAATTGATTTTTCAAATTTTTATAAATTTGAAAAATTATTTCTTAGCGAAATAATTTATATACAATATGGTTCAAGTTAACCCTATATTAATATTAATTTATGGTTGAAAAATAGGGTTGAAAATGAAAATGCCCCAGAACTCTCCTTCTTCTACTACTGGCATGTGTCATCCGGGGACGTTCGTCGGACGTCTGAACGTCAATGAGAACATCCATGAGAACGGGTATTAAAAGCACATAATATCAAAACATGAATAATTCATATATTTGAAAACTTCTAATAATTCATATGCTTGAAAATATCTAACAATTCATATATTTGAAAATATCTAATAACTCGTATATATAAAAATATTTGATGTTTTTGTTTAACGTGAAGGAAGAAAAAAGAAACACGCTATGTGTTGGTTTCAGACAACATTTAAGTTGTGAAAACAAAATATCTCAAAACTTCTCTACAATCTACGATATTTGCATGATAATTTATGGTTTAGCAACAAGCTTGTTTTAAAAAGATATAAAAATTTAATGAAAAATATTATATTATTATGATATTATTTATTTTCAAATAATTTTAACTTTAAATGAGGAGATTTAAGTGTCTTTAAAGTTAAAATTATTTGCAAAATGTTTTAAACTTTTGTTTATAAATCAATTCAGTTATGTTGTTTGTTATTACCAACAAGTAATTTAATGTTAATTTTGAATTTTTTATAACAACAGGTTTTCAGTTACACCAAAAAGACTCGTAGCCAAATTATAATTCGTGCTTTTGTATCACTTGCATGTTTAGTAATTGGTATATGGATAGGATATGCCATCGGTAAAAATAAAACTCCACCTATTACAAAGTTACCATCTGTTGCTAAATTATCACGAGCTCAAGAAACCGAAAGAATCATTCACCATCGCATTATCACCGATAGCATGAGTAATATGAAGATTCGAGATAATTTAAAGTAAGATTTGTTTAAAGCTAATATTTTTACGGATTATGATTGGTCAGATAAACTTTTTTTAAATCTCTGTTTTATTTTTATCTTGAATGAGTATAAAATTATTACTCAATAGATTGTCCTTGATTACAAGCGAAATAAGAAAATAAGTCCTGGTTATACGAAAATTAATTTTAACTTTATGATTTTAAACATTTATAACATTTATAGGTTGTTTCATTTTTTTTTTTTTTTGTGTGTTTGCTGAATACCCCGCTCAATTAAAATTCATTTTATACTAATATTTAGAGAGTATAAAAGTTACTTAATATTATATATATATAACTTTAAAAATAAATACATATATAAATAAATATATATAGTTGTAAAGATATGTTTACGTAAATAAATATAAAATACTCAGTAGCGGGTTTTTAATGGGGGAAAGGGATATTGAAATATTATTGTATTTTGTATAACATTAATAAATAAAAAAAGTGCTTGAAAAATTATAAGTTTCAAAAACACGTTTTACAAAATGTTTCTCCTAATAATTTTTTTTTATTGCGTTTTTCTCGAAATACGTAATAAGGTGTTTTGAAAAACGGCTGCAGTTCGGTCTTATCATATTTCAAAATTTCAGGTTTTTTGGCAATTTACTTGTTTATGTTACGCACAGTAGCATTAAAAAATTATTCTCTATGAAAAGTAGATTAACTAAACAATTGATGTTTTGTAACAGTAAAAAATTATTTCAAAAGAAATTACACTTTTATTATAGGAGTTTAAGTTGCTTTTTAAAGAACAAATAACCGATTATTTTAGGAATACCTTTTAAATTATTTTAAAATTTTTAATAATATTAAAATATAATTCAATACAAATATGTTAAAACACTTTTTTTTTACTGTTTTTTATAAGGCCTCCTAAGCAAAGTCGTCAGGAGTAAAAATTTGTCTAATTACCGTTCCATTAGTCTCCTTTTTATCAAAGGAAGGTTTTTGAGTTTTTAACTAACAAACACTTAATCTTTCATCTTGAATCTAATAACGTCTGATTATCAATATGGATTTCAATCTTCTCTTTCTACTGCTTATTTGTTAATGGTATAACCGATAGATTTTATCGTTCATTAGAGAGATGTGGAGAGTTAAGGCTATTGCTCTTAGCATTTCTAAAAAATTTGATGAAGTCTGGCATGCTGGTCTTCTCCATATGCTCTTTTCTTAAAGTGTAATAATAATATCTTTAAGATTATTGAACCGTTTTCTTATCAATCGTAGTATAAAATTTGTCATTAATGGAAAATACTCTTCTTCATTTGCTGTAACTTCAGGGGTTTTCATATTAGTATCTCTCAGCGTTTAAAAGTTATGACCATATACAATTTGTAACTTGCTCTATTTGGGGCTTATATATGTATATAATATATATGTATATACATATATATGTATATACATATACATATATATATATAAATATATATATATATATACATATATATATATATATATATATATATATATATATATACATATATATATATATATATATATATATATATATATATATATATATATATATATATATATATATATATATATATATATATATATATATATATATATATATATATATATATATATATATATATATATATATATATATATATATATATATAAATAAATAAATAAATATATATATATATATATATATATATATATATATATATATATATATGTATATATATATATATATATATATATATATATATATATATATATACATATATATATATATATATATATATATATATATATATATATATATATATATATATATATATATATATATATATATATATATATATATATATATATATATATATTAAGTGCTCAAAGTGGAGAAAAAAAGTAACGGGATGGTTTTCGGTAGATTAAAAATACCATCCCGCCTGATTTATATGTATATACATATATATATGTGAATATATATATATACATATATATATATATATATATATATATATATATATATATATATATATATATATATATATATAATATATATATATATATATATATATATATATATATATATTTATATACATATTTATATGTATATACATATATATATGTGAATATATATATACATATATATATATATATATATATATATATATATATATATATATATATATATATATATATATATATATATATATATATATATATATATATATATATGTAATTGTCTTCAAAAAGAATAAGGTAAATAATTAAATTATTAAAAAATAAAAAAAATAAAGAAAAATTTGATATTTTTTAAAGCCAAAAAAAATCGTCAAATTTTCCTTTTATAACTTAATTATTTATTTTTTTAAAAACAATTTTTTAACGACAAGCTTCTTGGCATCGATGCCAAGTATATTTTGTAACTAAAGACCTCAGTGCAAAACGATATATCTCCTCTTTAGGTCGATTTTTTTATTTGAGTGAAGTATTACTAGATATAATTAGAGTATCTTAACAGTTAATGCAAAAATAATTTAGATTAGAGCACTCTTTTATGCAATTTAACTAAGGGTTTGACTGAATAATACTTATTCTCTACATTCAAAACAATTTAAATCCATTTTTACCAAGGTTTTAAAATTTTTATCTTAATCTAAGGTGATTCTAGAATATTAACGTTCTTATCACAAAATACCGCGTAAGCACATTCAAACCTGTATGCATTTAGAATGTTGTTTTTTATAGTCGCAGTTGTAAATTTTTTATAGTCTTAAAATAAAGGTGTAAGAAATTTCAATTCAAACATTTAAGTTTTTTTTTATCAGTTGTTTTTCTAAATGACTCATATAAAAATTAAATTTTAAATTTAATTTAATGATGAAGTGTTCGTAATGGACAGTTAATTGCGATAATCTGTGGTAACAAATCTTTGTGGTAATGTGGTAACAACCATATCAATCAGTCTTTCAACTCAAACTTATAGAGAATCACGGAAAAAACAATTGATTTTTCAACAAATTTTTAAATATACTTTTACTTTATGTCAATTTGAGTTAATGCAAAATTTAAAAACATAAAGGTGGTGGTGAAGCTTGAACCCCTTATTTTAACTTATAACGTTTTGTGGGGGATCTGAAAATTGTCCTAAATTGGAAATTTTTGGCATTTAGCGTTTTTATTTCAAATGTTATCACAGGTGAAATCACTGTTTTGTCACTGGTTAAAATTTCAAAAAAAAGTTTAAAATGAATCACCCTACTAATACAATTTGATAAATTTTTGTCTGAACTTTTAAAGATATAATCCTAAAAGATATCTTCCACTCCATTTTATATTCAAAAAATTAAAAAGAATGTGAGTCTAGCTTTTTAAGCTAGTCAAGAAACGGGAGCGGATCAAATTATTAGGGAGAGACCGGAGGAAGATACAATGGGGTTCAGAAAAATTTCCAATAAACCAATTGCTTACAAATTTTTTAAACTAAAAAGCTTAAAGCGTGTTGCATTACAGACGCCATTACTGACACAGACCACCATAAAACACTAATTGTTTTGGTTTTTAATTTAAAAGCCACTTAAAGTTAAATTAACTAGAGTCATGGCCCCACGCGCCTTAAGTAAGTGTGTGTTTTGGAAGGGAGACAGCAAATTTCGGGGGCACTTTTTCAATTTTGATGAAGTTTTCCTATTTTTTTTAGCATAGAGTGACGGTAATTTAGGATGATTAGAGGGAAAAGACACGCTAATTAAAAACCATTATACTTAATACACAGAATAATTCATTTCAAAACATTCACAACACAAAAGTCTTACCTCTACTTTTTAACTCTTTTTAACCGTACAAAACAATTCATCACGTTAAAAATATGAAGTTCTAGATTTTGTTGTACTCTCTGCTTTTTTTTGATTTTTATTTGATCAACTCAAATTCAACATTATTAGCTAAAATTTAATTTGTATATTTAAATAAAAAGAATTTTTCTTTTTTGCAGCTACTTATAGATTTTAATTAATTTTTAAAACAATATAATTAAAAAAATACAGTTAGTTAATTGTTAAAACGAAACAATTAAAATAATACAGTTTATTTTACAAAAATATCATAGGCGCCCGGAGGATTTTTTGATGTTTCAGATAGGACACTTCCACACATTGTGCAAACTCTAAACTTAAGAATGTTCATACCTATGCCAAATGAGGATATGCCAAATGACATATTCATATTATGTCTGTTGTTGTGCCTATGTTCATTTATATTACCTGATAAAACGCAGACCGGAAAAATTATTGTTAATATTTGTATTAGTATTGAAATAATGTCCTCTGCGTTTTATTAAAGAGTTAAAATCTAACTTTGAATCATTCGAAAGAAAGCTAATCAAAAATATATATTAAAAAATATATGGTTATAATAAAATTTATATAATACCTAATGTTCTCAGTTAAAATATAAAAAATATAAAACATATATTATAAATAATAAATAATAAAAATTTGTTAAATTTATATTTACAATTTAAAGATGTTTAAGGTACTAAAGCTAAAAAATAATATATATTATAATCAAATCTTGATTAAAATAATGTATTATAGTCAATCTTGAAATAGTATATTTTGTCACATCACCAAAAGTAATTCTACCTTTTCAAAATTTTTAAATGAAGCAACACTGATATGTAAAATGACGTACTACTTTTAATATGACACTTTTTCTCAATCTATAATATTTATACTAAATCAACCCTTTAAATCTTGAATTTTAATTATGTGATTCGTTCAGAAAACGAATTACTTAAAATGAAAAAAAACTATATGATTCACAGTTTTTATCTTGAAAATCTTTCACTTTTAAGTCCAAATAGGCGGAAAGTCGGGTAGTCCCGGACGGCGGGTAACTCCGGACACCTGATGTACAGCTTAAACTAAAGAAGCTATATGATTTAAAATACAATAAAAACATCATTTGAGTAAAAATATGGCATATGCAAAATATCTATCATAATGCCGAAGT